CCGAACGTAGGTATTTTAATGTATTATTTCTGACAGAATATTAATGAACTATTGTTTCAGTCGCAAAGATGAACGTTTGTCTTTCCTCGATTTACAAACGTTAGTGGTTAATAAACCCTGCCCACGCACTGCTCCGATTTCGACAGTAATTAATCGGCCGGTTGCGGATGCTGTAGCATTAGCTGCTAAAGCTGAGAACATTGCGGAACCTCCTACTCTTCTGCAGCCACGTATTTGTGAACCTCGAAAACCAAGGGATTCTCATTACCCACTATCTCTGGTTCCTGGCCAATTTTGTGAGAAGTATTACAATTACTCAGCACTGGAACTAAGGTATCATATCAAAACATACATCTAAAGTGTAGGACGATTAAAAAAATATTTCTAAATATCCTTATACAGGAAAGTACCACTAAACACAATTTTGGAACTTCCATTTAAACTCTGGCAAGATAATGGGCAGGAAAATAACAGCTCTGATACGGACTCCGCAACCGAAAGTGTTGATAATAAAGTTGACCTGGTGGAATCAAGAACATTGTCAACAAAACGGCAAAACAAACGATGTGCACGTCTAAATCGTCCTTATGAAAATAGTTTTGCCGAATTTAAAATACCACCAATACCAGGTACTTCGGCATCGACAAGGAACTCTAGTGGTTCATCTTCGTCAGATGAATCATCCTCAGAAAGTGTAAGTAAATATAATTTGGTTACAAGCAGGATATAAAAATTTGTGCATATGTTCATGTCCGCAGGATTCCGATTCTTCTTGTTCATCATCGTCATTGTCGTCAGAAGATGTTTCGGATGAAGAGGATTCCCCGGCTATCTGTGCGGTTTGTTTGCGCCCGCATAATCGCAATCTGAATGACATGCCAGAATTGTTTGTGCAATGCTATACATGCCGACGGAAAGGTAAGGCAGTTAAGTAAAGCAAACAATGCCTTCTGTTATTTTCAATATATGTTTTTCAGTTCACCCTAGCTGTATTGAGATGCCGCGGCGGATGACACTCCGTGTTCGCAATTACAATTGGCAATGTGCTGATTGTAAGTGCTGCATTAAATGCAAACAAAAACAGGATGGAAATAAAATGTTATATTGTGAACAATGCGATCGTGGTTTTCACATATATTGCCTTGGAATAAAGGCGGTGCCTGAAGGTAAGAAAATGATCTTTCACAGTGTAGTACATATAGATTCTAACTTCGAATTCTACTCTGATTATATTAAATCTAAAGTATACTTCATTTTGCGTAAAATATGTTCTAGTAGTTTTTATTTTCCTACTTGGGTCAAAATAAGAACTACTCATACATTTTTGATGCCACAGATCCTTTATGTCATTGAAGTCTCAACAGGGACATCTGAATATAATTTGTTGAAATGGAAACGTAATCTAAATAGTGTAGCTAAGTTTGTCTAAGCTGAACATTCGTGAATATATTTCGTCTTTTCTAATCTATTGTATATTGATCTGCATAACATGTTGTACCATAACATAACATATATGTTAAATAGAATTATCTATGAGCTCATATATCTTTAATATTATTACTTCTCTGTTCGGAAAAACTGTACTTTTACATCACCAGCTTTTAGAAGGTCATTTAGTATCCACTATGTCCTTAAGAAATACTCGGATATTTATATGTTTCAAAATTAAGTAGTGTTAACTAGAATGGATGTAGTTCATAAAAGCTTTTTTTTGTTTTGCAGGTCGTTGGAGTTGCAATCGTTGCAGTATTTGTATGAGATGTGGGGCAACCACGCCGGAAGGCATACCATCCTATAATCAGTTGTTGAACTCTCCAAGTGGAGATCAAGGTAAACAGCATCGCCATAAAAGGCTCAAATGGGTCAATGAATATCGCGTGGATCCGATTACAAAGGTTAAAGAACATACATCTATGCTGTGTGTTCCGTGCGCCAAAATGAAAGCGACAAAGAGAAACCAAGCATCATTTCACAACATTTCAAATGGACTTGCTCTTTCTCCAGGTGCGCGCGGTAGTGATCCAAGTAGTTCACCTGGTGTAGTATCTTCGATGACACCAACATTGAGTGCAGATGCAGCGTACACGGAAACCACAACGGAAGACACTGCGAGTAGCATTGGGTCGAACGTGAAACCAAGTGAGGAGTTAAGTTGTTCAGAGAAAAGTGAAAGCGGTATGCTTTTGACAAACTCTAAAAATGCCCCTCCGCCAGTAGTTGCCTGAGTGGGGGTTATACGGTGGCATTTTCCCAAGCCGCAGCCACCGAAGCAATCACCTTGTTCTTCAACGAATTTATAACAGACTAGTTCTAATGAGGAAGAACTTCGAAAAGAGCGCAGGTTGGGCAACAGAATATAGTTTTTACTTTAATATATTTATGTATTTTTTATTTTATGCGAATTAAAAATGGAAAAGTGCATTTATAAACATTACCAATTGGTTTGTTTTGTGGAAAAGAAAGTATATATGTAAATTCAGAACATGTTTTTGACTGATCTGTACGAATAATTTTTCTGATCCCCAAAATTGTATATTAAGTCACACAAATTACTTTTAATAAAATATGATAGTCCTTTCTAACAAATCAACTCGTGGTTTAATACTAGGACATTGATTAGCATCTCAAATCGAGAATAGCCAGAAGGAAAGTGTGCGAAGAATTTGCAGACATTCAATACAATAAAAGCCCAAAAAGCCAAACATTGATGTGAGAACTCCACATTTATTTTCTACGATCAATATTTTACAACCACAATAAAGCTTTAATCATAATATACTGCATAAACAAATATGAGGGAAGTTTATTTTGTACTTACTGGAGATGTATGTAAACCCCAGGGCAATATGGCTGGTGGTATTTTAGGCGGTGGCTTTTTCTTGGAACAGGAACAGTCGGTGCGAATTTCGATGAGTATGATGTTAATTTTATATGAAAATACAGTAATTTGGCTTTGGTGGATGGATAAAATGGAAGTTGGTTTGTTATAATAATCATTTTAATAATTTGGAGTAATTTTTCTTTTGGATGTTGTGTTATTTAGATGGTTTTTTCAGTAGAACACTTGTTGGATTTATGTAAGGTGGTTTTCTGGGGCTTTGGCTTTTTCTAGGAAGAGGGGAGAGTCTGGGAAATTCTCTTTTGGAACACTGATGCTGGTTGTATTTGTACACTCAGTTGACTCTCACAGATGTTTATTAAAAAGGCGGGATTTTTTGGTACACACAGTCTCTCTTTATTTGATGTTTATTGTTTTCAAAATGGCGCGCACTTATTTTGGTTTTTGGAGACAAGAGCTAGGAAATATATTTTCACTGAGTTTCTATTTATGATGTTCACTCACACACAAACACTAGTTTCTTTGAATAATTTATTAAAAATAAAACTTGGTTTGCTTTGGTAAGCTTTCTCATTAATTCTTCTTTGACGTATTCAAAATGGCGCGTAAACTTTTTTGCTTTTGGTACACAACACTGGCGCCATGTATTTGTATGAAGATGTAGGGCGTTGCCTAATTCCAGGAACACAACACTTATTGGCACTTAAATTTCACTAAAAACAACACTTTGCTTGAATAATTTTTTCATATTGGATACTCGGTGTGATTTTGTATGTATTTCGGTATTTTTTCTTATTATTTTACAATATTTTTTCACTTTGTGTACATATAAATTTTTTGGCGTCTGGCTTTTCCTGGAAATGAGCACGACATTGGATGGTAAAACAATGAAAAAGCACTTTTCTTCACATGTAAATACTTGCATTTCAATTGTTGATCACTTCTTATTTAATGGATAATAAATTCCGCGCGTTTATTTTGTGTATTTTGGATTATTTTCACCAATTGGAACGAGAGCTTAAATAATCGCAGTGAAAAATAAAATATGCCGCCAAATTGGGAAATAGGGTACTGAAAATCGATTTCGGGCGATAAATGTCGATGAAAAGGCGGGTCAGAAATCGATAACTATCGATAGTTGACGGCGGCGATAATTTGGCGGCGTTAGTAATTTGACGGCGGTGGGAAGTTGACGGCGTTGGTAATTGACGGCGTTAATAATTTGACGGCGGTAGAAAGTTGACGGCGTTGGTAATTGACGGCGTTAACAATTTGACGGCGGTAGAAAGTTGACGGCGTTGGTTTTGACGGCGTTAGTATTTTGACGGCGTTGGTACTTGACGGCGTTAGTAAGTTGACGGCGGTGGAAAGTTGACGCCGACGATTTTTTTGTGATGGCGTGGGGGATAATCCAAAATGGCGGCAAAAACACACATACACACACACAAAAGAGAAACGAAATGTCAGAATATGCGGAATAAAAGAAAATGAGATTGGTAGTAAAGGAAAGTGAAATAATTGGGAAAATACAGCAAAAAAGCTTAAATGGAGGATGAAAGTTATTTGCTCTTGGAAAGTATGTTACATTGCAACGCAAAAAAGCGATTTTAGCTGAGGAAAAGAAAGTATAATACGGTTGCATAGTGAAATGGATTGTGAAAAGCATAAAGATGTGTTTTTGCAAGTAAGAAAACAAACAAAGGTGAGGAAAGCAATGTTTTTGCATGGGTAATTTGCTAACAACCATTTTGTTTTTCAGATAATTCAATTGTGGAAGTAATACGATCACTTTTTGCGACGCTATTATGGCTTATAATATGCTTCAATCAACATCCAAATGGATTAAATTACGGCTAGATAATAAGAAAGATGATGGACGATATTGTTAATGAATTGATGGGAATGAAATCGATGAACTTTCCACTGGAATCTTTAAAATTGCAGCGTGTGAAATTGTCTTGCATCTGAGAATAATGCGCTGGACGTTTTTCAATAAATATCACGGTTTGTTATATTGCAATTGATGGATAAAATGGACAATCGGGTATTACATCAGTGCCGCGGATTTTCTCGACAAAATCTATGGAATTTCCTTCATTTAAATTCAATGCAAGCACTTAAGGTAATGCGTAATACTTTAACGAAGAGGATACGTAAATTTTTTGCTAAATATATTTTATTTTTGCAGACGAATTAAATGCGATATGGGATACTTGTGACCAAGAGAAAGAAGACGCTGAAGGATCGTTCTTTTGGCAACGACATTAGCAGTACGTCTTATTTTTATCTTGCAAAAGAGGACGCTTAGTGAAATTCTGGTACATTAACGTATCTTTGAGGAATTTTGCAATAAGAAATCATGGAATTCGCTTGGCATAAACGTAGCGAAAAAGTTTAATGTAATTTGTGCCTTTTACTTACCATTATTATACCATCAAATTTGTCATTCAAAATTGAAAAATAGCTTGGCATGTTTCAGCCAAATTTTATTGTAAAGTAAAAGCAATTGATACAATAATTATACATTGTTCAGAATTAAAATACATGTACATTAACGCTACAATTTTCTTTTATTAAAACAAAATGATGTGGTTAGGAATGGTTAAAGGTGGCATGGGGACAGAATACGTTTTTAAATCCAAAGGGGGTGCTTTAATAAGTGATGCAACACACAAGACATTGCAAGATCTTTGGAGCCAAGACCATCGGCCCGATAGTATTTTATATGTGTAGCAACTATGGCGTATCAAATCTATAGATATATAGTAAAAAAGTAATTGCATATTTGATTAAAAATGGCATTTTCCTTTCTCTGAAATGTGTAAAGAAACAGAAGTAGAGTGCACATTGAAGTTGGTAGCTTGGAATATAAACGAAGGGGGATAGCTTTGTACAATGCATTTGCGATTCCAAGAGTTTAAGGTAGGGCAATTTGAACAGAGCATTGAAGTAACTATTAGGGACTTTTGGTAATGCTTATTGATGGAAGTCAAGTGTAGAAGGTGGGAAATTATGGTGGGTCAAAATAATATGCTTCTCGATGGTACAGAGGAACGTAAAGAAGCCCGAGATCCACAATGTATTGTGATGGACATGATGAGTTTATGGATGTAATAAATGAAAGCTGGTATGGTATTCAGGATACACGCTTAGCTTTTAGAAGTGTAGTTGAAGGGTGGTGTAGAATCACAATGGTCAGCAGGAATGATTTGGGAAATTACTTTTGTTTGAACAATTAGAGTACAGGTAATTTGGATCAGAAATATTATATGATGTTGTCTGTTTGTCGAAGGTCAGTTTACCATCATCCACATAGATATGTATATAGCTGCAGTCGTTTGTTCACGTCTAATCGATTTCCTAAAGCAGTTTTATTACATAATGCATTGTTGGTCTGTGTTATAAAATTGAATAGCAATCGATTCGAAATTAAATGGTAGGTTTGAATGCAATGTGTTTTCATCACGTGCGAATAATACAAATATTTGGATTGGGTCTAAAATGTTTGTTGTAAAATAAAACATAAATTGCCATTAATGAAATCATAATGTCTATAAAGTACGCAAGTTGAATACTAATTATGGAATGCAAGAAAAGTGGGAAATGAGTCGAAAAATTGTTGGTTTGCATGTCTCATATGCAGGCAGTGCGTCAATAGTAGCGGAGAGAAGACGACGTGAAAGGAATTGGAAATATAGCAATAAATAGTGAAACTTAACAAAATTGTAGTGGTGGATAAATTTGAAATATTGTATGCAAAAATGCGTCAAGTAGTTGGTTTATTATGCGCAGTAGATTCGTCAGGTTGCAAAATATCGAATTTTGTGTGGTAGGCGAAGCTGAAACGAATGAAAGAAATGTCGACGAAGGTGGGTGTACAACATTGTGGTCTTGGTATGATAGGCAAGTAGCATTGTTTGTAGTTAAATATTTTAAAAAGACATTTCTCTATATATACACCACATAATGCGGAACTGTTGTTTATTACGCACGCAACAATTAAAGGGTTGAGGCTAAACCTTGACATCGGATAGGTGGTTTTTCGCAGTGATATTTGGAACGACAACAGTTTTAAGCCGAGGATTAAAAAGGCTACAATATAAGGAGAGAAATGAAGAGGATTACGCTGGTTGTGGCAGCCGTTGTATTACTTACATGCAGCAATGCAGAGAAACTTAGTAAGGAAGATGGGAAAAAGGCAGTAGTGGAAGATAATTACTCGAAAGCAGGCGAGGATAAATTAGAAGCAGACATAGCTGAATCGGGGTCCAGCAAGAAGAGCAAGGAGGTACACAAGCGAGGCGTTTTTCACTATGGAACGTTAGCATCTCATGCAGCATGGCCTAAGTCTTACGCTGCCCATTACGGCTATGGTGTACATTTGCCCACTTCGTTTTCTGTAGCCCCGATTGCCGCCAGCCATATCCATGTTCCAGGACCAATTAAGTATCACAGTGGAATTCACTACAAAGCTGTTGTTCCATCTGGTGTAGCCGCTGTTAGCTCGACTGTCTTGCCAGCGGTGTCGACGTTGAGTCCAGTACACGCACACCAAGCTGCTGCTAGTGTACCATACGTCATCAGACCTGGAGGAGCAGTTGTGCAGTCTTACAGCGTAAATTACCCTCATCATAAAAGCATTGTTCCTGTAAAAGCGGTTCATGCATATGGTACTGTTGCACATGGTTTAAATAGCATTCAACCAGTTCATCATGTTCCAGCTCAAGCAATTCCTCATATTCCAGCGCAACCAATACAGCCTGTTGTCCAAGTAAATATTTAAATAATGATATATAATAATTTGTTAGATAATGAAAGTGACATGTAACTATTGATATAATTTTGCAGACATTTGTGCAAGCAGCTCCCGTTGCTCAACCGGTTCCTTCCGTTGGTGTAGTAGCGCAATTTCCTTCGGGTAATTTAGGTCCAGTACTGCCTGATATTCAGGCTACTCCGTCGTTTGGAAATCCTCCAACATTTTCTGTAGTTAGTGGAGAGAGTGCAGCGCCTGTGGTGCCACCAGCTGTCCCAAATGTGCCTGTTGTCGCACCCCAACCGCAACCTCCAAATGTTTTCTATCCAGTTAACATTCAGCCACCAATTGCACAACAACCGCCTGCATTCGTTAACGTTCAGCCAGCAATTGCACAACAGCCACCTACATTCGTTAACGTTCAGCCAGCAATTGCACAACAGCCACCCACATTTGTCAACTATAATCCGAATGTTCAAGTTCCCTCGTTTGTGCCTGTTGGTGGAAGACCAAATCAGAACCAGCCAGATTTCGGAAGCAATGAAGCTGCGCCTCAGATTCCCGTTCAACCAACTGCGGCTGCTCAACCAGAACCTGAACTGCCAGCTATTCAGCCAGAGCCTGGGCAACAGCCATGGAAGCCAGTGTTATATCAGCCTCCAACTGTACAAAGTGAAATAATCGGCCTTCAAATACACTTTTGCCACCTTACGGCAACACACCGGCAGAAGGTAAGTAGTAGGAATTTATGGGGTTGGAATATACTCAAGAGCTTTTGTATATTTAGGTTACTTGCCACCAGCAACAAATCAAAAGGGTCGACAGGAATACAGGTACAGCAACAATTTGCTTGATCTCTCTGAAGCCGACATACAAAATATCTTCCAGCAAGCTAGTATAGCTGCTCAAAACGATCACAATCATGCGCACGTACATCCTCATACAATTCACAAGTACCACTCGCATTATTAGGAGCATGTAGTGAATGAATAGATATTTAAGTATCTTGTATGTTTGGTGCTGTAAGATTTCAAAAGTAATATACACATTTATTTATTTGGAATTAAGACGTTAGCTTATGGTGTTTAATGAGAGAAATTGGAATATTATTATATAAAATCTCCGATGTATTCACTAATTATCTAGTAGATTTTGTATACATTTTCTGCAGGCATTTGTTGTAAGTACTACCAATATATGTTTATGGTATTTTTATGCAATAAATTATTAAAAAAATTACTTGGAAAAATGCTATGGTTTCTTAAGAAAGCCGCCTATGTTTCTTATTACTGCATGCCATAGAAATCAATATTAATTGGGAGCAGATAGCCTATTAGCACAAACTAATTGAAATGAAGTTATGTTTTTTATAGCTTATAGTAAATAGTTTGCTTTTTTATTTGGGAAAACTATTATATGTGTGAAATAAAAATATTAAAATTATAGATGTTACTAAAGCTAAAATAAAAAATATTACATTCTTTAGACTGATAAATTAGAAGATATTTAAAATCCCGTTTGTCTAACTTTGCTAGAAAGGCAACGCTAGCAATGGTGATCCAAAATGTTTAATTTTACTCTGTTGACAAATGTTTTGCTTATTTTTTTATTTAATGGAGAGCTAAGTTTATGTTTCTGTTCAATGAAAATAAAAACTTCTTAATAGTATGTTGGGGGTACTAAGATCGTGTTTTGTGTTTTAAACTGCATTTCCTTTATAAATAACAAGCGCTTTTATAGTTATCCTAAACTAAGTATGCCGTTTTGTCTTTTTAGCGCTCATCAATTGGTTGATTTTATTTTGTTCTTTATTTGTATAATAATTATTTTTGCGAGTTAACCGCTTCTTCAAATTCTAAAATATTGTTTAGTCACTACGTATTTTTTTCATTTCTGGTTGTGCTGAATCCTCTAACGATGCTTCATCCGCGCAGTTGAGTGTCCTCTTCTGGCCTAATATTGTGGCAGCAGTAGCGCAGGTTCCGCTATGAGTAGTGGTGTCGTTACCTGTAACATAACGTGAAAAACAAAATGAAGATTAGCTACTTTTGTATTTAATCCATTGTAATAGTTATTACCTGTGAGATGATTAATTACAGGAGATGCCTCTTCATCGTCGCCTTCAGAGTCACGCAAACAATTACTGTCACTATTTTCACCATCCAAACCTGCTGCTGAAGCTGCGACCAATAATGCGCCGTTTCCATTTGATGTTGTTGGATTATTAATATCTGCCTCTTTTTGCAGTAGTGAACTATTCTTTATAGCTGTGACTGCCACTGGTGGTTCCATATTGCTTTCGGAATCAGAAGCCAATGGCGTACGAACGGTAGCTTCCTCTCCGTCGTCAGAAGTTGTGGTTGCTGTTGTTTGTGTAGTGTTCTCATCAAGAATGGGTTCCTGTGATGAATCATTTGACACAAAATTCGAATCTCCATCCTGAGGTGTAGGGTTAGTATTTTCATTTTCAGATTCAGTTGCAATATTGGTTGATTCCACACGACCTGTAAACAAGAATTGAAATAGTCCGTAAAATATGTTTTCTATTGCTACAATTGGTTGCACTCACCTGCACTGTCGTCGTCGGCATCATTTGTATCTTCACTTCCAGCATTTCGCACATTGTCATTCTCTGAACTTCCATTACTCTTTTTTGTAGCTGCACATCCTCCACCTTTTCCACTAGGCATTTCATCCAATAGATCTGGACTCAAATCGTTAGCTACGTAATGAGCCCACAGTGCTAGCTCAACCCTATGAGGCGACCAAACTGGCTTATCACCGCCAGCCTGGGCATTCAGACGTGTGACAGTCGATTGAATATGTTGTACAAAATTGAGATACTCCTTTGTTGTGTAGTCTATACCCTCAATTTCTGGAATGGCCATAAGACACTCATCTGCCATAAAGGGAGCCGAATCGGGACAAGCAGCCGCTAATAACGCTGAAGCCATAGTTGTACCGACGCCTTTTAAATTTGACAATGCAGTAATAGCCTGCTCCAAGTTAGGCAATTTGCGAAAAGCCTTTTTCGTCTCCTGCACAACAGCTCGCGGTGTATTTACTTTAACAAGATAATTTAGCTGAGGATAAAATTTTCCACGTGCCTGTTTCCACTTCATCGTCTGGACTAATTCATCGTAAACCATATGTGCATCCTTCCCTCGTTCTTTTATAAGTTTGGGTAGTACGTTTTGATACCATTCGTCCAGTCGTATTAATTCCTGAGGTTTTTTATTACGTTTTTCTGCTTTTAATTTTAGCACTTCTGGATATAATTTGTAGCAATAGTCGAATTGCTCTGTTGTGCCATTTTCAAAGAAGGAAGCCGTATCTTTACCGGTATTAGCCATGTTTGCTACTGTTTCACTTTGCAAATTTTTAATGGGCGACACAAAATATAGTGATGAAGAAAAATATGTAACACCAGAAGGACACAAACTCGAAATAAAGCAAATCTAAAATAATAGGCAACGTACAATAAAACAAACGACGAATACGAAATGACAGATGGCTTTTCGAACGAAGATATAAACTACATTCGTTTGTTGTTGCTTCTATTTAATGGCGGCTCGTAGTTTGTGTAGAGAAGACAGGCACAAGAAAAATCAAGCTACCAGCTTAAAATGTTGAGCTCTCTTGGATGTTAATGTGTTCGATGATAAATGCTTCTTTTTTCTGCCTGCTGCTTTAGTACAATTTGTTGGCGTTGATTGTGGTGGTTGCTTGTCTGTATATCACAGAAGCACTCACACAAACCTATGCGTTTTGTATTTTAGTGGCAGCTGCGATGTTTGTGCGGCACTTCTGACGACTTTTTTCTGATGTGTGTGTTCGTTTAAAATGTTTGTGTGTATGCTATAGTGGTGGTATCGCTGATAATGGCAACGGCGAAGGTCTCAAAATACAAGTCCGTTCCAAAAGCTGTTATTAATTTGCTGTTATCCACGCACGTATACACCAACAATATTTTCCGCTGCTTTTTGTATTTCTCCTGAAACGTTTTAAAGGCACCGAAAAATCTCCACTTCTGCGTGACAATACACTAAACCAATAATGAAAAATGCTTATTAAAGTAGGGATCTAAAATTTGGCTAACGATTTTATGAGCAAATAACGATAAATTAAAATCGACTGTTTTTCGATTATAAAATCGGGTCAAAAACCCGGCTCTACTGTACATTGTCATAAAAAGAGTGTTGATAATTACACAAAATTAAAAAAATCACTTTATTAGTTACGTTTTCTGAGAAGTTGTATACATTTTGAAGACCTCAATGTAATTTGGTCTATGGTATTAACGAGAAAACCTATTTATGTTCAATTTTCCGTTAACAGAAATACAAATTTGGGATTCTTTACCCAGTACGCTAAATTTAATAAATTTTTATAGTTTTTTCTCATATATAAATTTACTACAAGATCAAATATATTTTTACGATTTTATTAATGATTTACATTAAGAATTTATTTTTGAATGGAAAATTTAGATTTTTCTGAAAACTGATTTTTTCTATATAAGTATTTTTTTCTTTGCTTAAAAATCTGATTCATACTTTTCAAAATATTACATACTGTTTTAAAGATGATGTAAATATTATTGCAAAACGGGCGATTATAGATTCTTCTAAAATGTATCTAGAGTGGCACAATATTCCCCAAAAGCAGATTTTTCCTGAGGAGAACGCTTTAATAGTACAATGACATGGTAAGGAGAACCACAAGGACTGTATTGGCCCACTTATGTTGCTTTTGCAAAAAAGAATATACTTTTGGATTTATACATGCAGCAAAAACGCAGAATTTATATTGCAATATAGAAGCAAAATATGTGTGACTGCTGCCTCTGTACCATGAAACAGATATATCTTAGGCTTAGTGGTTGCTTGTTTATTTAATTATACTTTTATTTCGACACAAAGTTTTATCTAATACGCGCCAGACTGTTGGCATGAATAATTAGTCTTTTCCATGTAATGTCGCAGTTCGGTTTTGGAAACCTGTGAATTTTAGAAAATACATATTCATCACTTAAAAGACAAATATTTAAAACATTTAACCTAGAGAAACGACACTGTATCATTTACTTAATAGAATCATCAACTCGTTAGTTACGTTAAGTAGGGTATAGTTTCGTGTATTGAACGCAATATATTAGCTGTGGGAAAAAATACGTTTGAAGTACCTTGATAGTTTATCAACAACAATGCTAGTTACAATGACGCTAAGTTTGTTGATGGAATTGGAAACAAAATGCAATCAATATACAATGGAATATCTCTTAAATCGTCTTCAATTGCTTCTGATTTTATATGTTATGTGTTTATACACATCATAATTGATCCTCTCCTGTATTCTACCACCCATATAAATTCCTGCAACTGATTTGTTCAATCTAAATAAGTCTATACTCCTCGCAGACATGTTAAGAACTAGAAGGAAGCTTGGTAGAACTTATATGAGGAACATTGTCGGTAGACTTAATTATTTGGTAATACGCTTTTGTGTCGCTTTATACTTATACTACTACCGTTGGTTTTGTATATTTTCATGAATTTGTGCAACTTTTTGGAAACTGAAATTATTAACAAGGTGCAAGTCTGGATAAAACAGTGTTATATACATTTATGTGCACAACTCTTTTTGGAAAACACCTTTATATAATTGAAATACGAACTGTTAGTCGAAACAAAGTATTAATAACATATTTTAAATAAACGGCAGGCTAAAACAATTGTTAAGAACATAAAGATTTAATGTTATTTAAGATCCTTAAATAAAAGTCAGTTTCAAGACAATCGTAATTAATGCATATCTAAATCTTCCAGTCGTACTGGTTGCGTGTACGGTATTATAGATTTCCTTTCGGTGTCCCTTGAAAGAGCTTTTCGCATGTCTGCAAATGTAAAATATAATTAATTATTAAAATGTTGAAGAATTAGATATCTGAAAATACCATAGGTCTTCAAATTAGTTACATAAATGCAAGTCTGATTTGGGCATAATTTATTTTTATAGTTTTTTTTTAATGTACACTCAAAACAGTACTTACCATAAGCGTCTTCCTCCTGATCACCAGAATAATAATCCAATATAGTCCGATAAACTATGTATCCCAAATTTGAATACATGTTTATAGCAATTTTATTGCTCTTCCGCACAAATAAATCAACAAAATACGCACGTTTCCTGAAATAAAGAATAATAAAGTTTAAAAGGGATTTTACATGTGTTACTAATTACTTTTCCGATATGTCCTCCAAAAAGTTCATTAAAAGAGCAGCTAAACCCAATCGGCGATAGTCAGGCGAAACGGTTAAAGCTGTGACGTGACCGTGCCAGTTTTCCATATGACCCTCAACTTTGCCCATTACTGAAAGAAAACAATTATGAGTTGTTGCATAAAACAAAATATGCTCAACTTACTGTAGCCCATGATTTGGCCGCTAGGTGATTCTGCCAGTTGAAAGAATTCCGGCCATCGAGAAAGATACTGGGTGTAAAAAGATAACCCATACGTTTCAGTCAACGGATCAAAATTACTATACTCCGACAATGAAAAGAATAGTATTCTTAGTGTGGTACTATGATATATGAGCCTTATTCAGTCTTACACATTATTAAATTTAAACAAATCGTCACATGTAAAAGGCCTCAAAGTTGTCATCTTGATGGGAATATAGGAATAATAAGAGAAAGAACAAGGACCGGAGCCAGAGCCGAAACGCGAGAAAAATATTAAAAGAAAAACAACGAGTAGGTTTCTAAAAACACAATCTCGTCAAAAAAACAATTGTTTGTTCACTGAGTAAACGAGGAATGAGTGCCGATTATTGTTTTAGTAAATGCTGTCATCAGCTCGTCATTTAGCTTATCCTCAAAATCGTAAAATGTCGGAAATTATATATAGGTTCCTTTTCTCCATATTAATTGAATACATAATCAATAGATTAATATATTAATAAAAATGCATCCAAATAAATTATTTTTGCTTTCCTAGAAGTGGCACAACTTTATTCGGCTTATAAAACAATCGACATACGTCTTCGTTACTAAGGTATTTATCGACCAGTCCGATATGTTTTTGACGTTTTCGAGCAATGCCATCGCCATTTATAAAGTACCAACGGCGATTAATTTATATGAGGGGCTGTGGTCTTTATTTACGCGTCATAAAAAGAAGTGTATTTTCTTTTTGTTGAAAATTTGTTTTCATAAAAATAATTGCAAGGAAATAATAACGCAAGTGTAAATGGTTAGTTAACGTTCGTTGAGGAAAAGTACAATAAATCAGTTATTATCAATTGAAGAACCTGTAAAAATTAATGAAAGTGGGACACACAGCTGCACCAATACTAAAAAGGAAATGCTATGATGAGAAAAACGTGAAAAAGGAGAAAACCTGCCAAGCAAATAAATTCGGTTCGGCAATTCTTGCATTTTATTGAATTCGTGAAAAATATAAAAAGATAATTATTTTATTATTTAATATTCATTGAGTGTCATTCTTCTAAAGCAATTCAATGTCCGCGTTTGGATGGTTGTGCATTTTGGTTCGTGTTTAATTGTTCGTCGTTTTTAACATCGTTTTATTGCTACATAATTTACATGTATGCTAAACTAGTTTTGTTTGTCGTCAACAGACTGGTAAAGGATTTGACACAATTTTGAGGAAAAAATATAATTTATGAATCTTTTAATATGTCCCAGTGTTCTTGAATTATGATTGAAATTGTATTTTTCCTGAGAATGGAGAAGCGCAAACAGAACGCCACATTTCTCCGCTTTCGTACACGATATTGCCAGACTAAAAATATTCATTTATTGCTCTCAAAATTTTGTGCGGGATAAGTTTTTCATGCATACAAAACTAATTCTTTCGTTTTTAACAGATACTCTGTGCTAAGCCTTTATGGCTATTTGTAAAATGAACGAACTGTAGTATATTGTATGCAGTGTTTTATAAAAAAAAATTAAAATATATTTGACTAGTAACTCGTTTTTGGCGTTTTTAAAGTTTTCTTGAAAGTTGTCATCACTGTTTACGCTTATTTTTACTGTGCCGCGTTTATGGCTTTTGTAAGAACTGTAAATTTGCTCGTGTTTGTGTGTGTTTTCTTTCTTGCTACAGCTAAATTTTCTTTGTATTGCTACGTTTGGTTTGTTGGCATGTCAGACATAAATGTATCGAATGATTTTTTTTCTCGTGTGTAAAATTTGTTCGTTTTGCTAAGTTTTGATGTCGGAGCTATTTGTTGCTGTTGTTTATGCGCATCTGAAGGTTGGGTGAAGATGTGCAATCGATATATTTTTCATAATATACAAATGCAATTGCTTGTTCGACTATTGAATCGACGTGCAAAGGCTTGAATATAGCAAATAGAAATCCAGTCGTAATTATTTAATGATAAAAAGTTCACGCTAGTCTTATCCAAATCCAACTAAACAGCATTTACTATTTTGTATTGTGTCGTGTGTTATAGTGGATATTCGATTTTCCTCGTAACGTTTCGTCTTTTTTCGTCGTTTGATGTTTTGTTCTCTATGTGCTTATTCATCTCTTCCTTTGCCTTTCGACCATATTTAATGCACGAACAATTCATTTTTCGCATCGAATGGATGTGGTATGAGTAAAATGTAACTGTGTTTGTATTTTCAGACAGTCAAATATGTATGTGCAGTGTGTTTTGTAAAATGGGATTTTGCAAATGAATGTTTGCTCCAAGTCGTGTGGCTTACATGACTGTGCTTGTATTGTCTGGTTTCGCATTGTCTTGATACCCAAAACCCATGTGCGTATTATTGGGATTTTGTTTTAACTTTTACTTTTTGTCAAATTTTGGTACATTGTTCGTTTTATATTGTAAAAACATAAGGTCGGTTAAGTTGCGGATAGCAATGTTTATTGGATATACAGAGGCGTATAGCATCCATTGAACTTGTCCAAACAAAAATGTTATATTCTCTTTAATTCGAACAAGGTCAGAAATATTGCTTTGTCGATTTTTTATGCAAAAAAAACGACTCTAATGGCCAATAACCAGATGAAAATGTGTCTTTAAACTAATTTCTTTATATTTGTTGAGATATCTAAATTTTATAGATGGTTATCCATATACATGTAAAATAAACAAGAGACGTTTGAGCACCATTGTACAGATTATTTTTTAGTTTTAAATGAAAAGTAGGTAACAATCTTTAATGACAATAATTGACAATTTTAAGTAGCGGATATTTGTTACCGTTAAGCGAAGAAATTGTGGGCATCATTTGGAAGTTCTATTATCGAATTGAGCTTTCAGCAACATTATATTCTATGTTGTATTTAAATGTAAAGCACAACACATCCAAATCATTTTGTTCAATTCATATGCAATATTAAGATTTGATGTTAAAACAATAACATGCAAATATAAATATAATCAATAACAAGACTATTTCCACAGATACTGTATCCTGAAAAAAGTAATCTTCACGTAAACAAGCTGTTAAAAGTTGTTCATCAATACAAAGGTATTATAAACTAGCTAGCAAAGAAATTTTTGAAAAGGATTTCCATGTTTATATTCATGTCATAAGGTAAGACAAAAAACAAAAAACAATTTGCACATATTAATATTTTTTCTTTGCAGCTTGTCAAGTCGTATGGATAATAACCAAATTATTGCGTAATGATGGTGTATTTGCACCGGTAGATATTATCGTTTCAACACCAGAAAGCCCGCCGTAATTGGTAAAAAGTAAGGACATCCGTCCAGGAGTACTGGGCACAATACGTTGGGAAAAATCAAAGTTATTCACACTTAAGCAATGAGTGTTACAAACCGAAGGAAATCGACGGATTCGGAAACAAATTCTGCAGCTCGCGCAACAAACGACGATCAACGCCATCAACAATTGTTATCTTATATAAGTTGCAGACAAGCAGCTACTGCTTCGAAAAGAAATAATAGATCAGGCATTGAAGAAGACCAAGAGCAATTAGTGACTTCGACTTCAACGGATATTTTATTACCTTTGCAGGCTGAAGGTGAAGGAGAAGAAGTATCCATTGATTTGGAAACAGTGGTTACGTCTTCAGTGCGAATTAGCAGTACCTCGAACAATTATGGTAATATAGCAGACTCTTTAGAGGAATTAAATTTGCCATCGACATCTGGCAATGCAAGAGCAGAAACCCAATTTTCATCTTTAAATCGTGTAAATGCTAAGATCATTAACCACCGATCAATGAGACCTCTATCCAATGAAATGGGAACCAATGATAGTAACGTGAGAGTCGTAAATGACACATTGGTCAGAGTCTCTAACCGTAGTCCTACAGACGGCAATGCTGGTTTAAATGATCGTGATGATCAATCAACTTCTTCAAATAATAATGTTGTGGGTTCCTTATCCCATGGTGATAAAAATAAAATCAAACTTAAACTGCCAAAACTGACAGCTAGCGAATCTCACGATACTGCATCAAATGATGAAGATATACGCAAAGTGGAACCCCTAAAAATAAATTTACTAAGCACGCAGCATCACAGCACTAATAATGCTCATCACACCCCTAAAATAATTTTTAAACCAATTATGAAGGAACCCGCCAATGAAGTTTTAATATCGTCCGAAGAATGTTCCTCATCAGCTGAGGATGAAATAGTTTCTAACATAAACATTAGTGATCCCCACATTTTACCGAAGTTAACCATTCGATCAAAAAATGAGGACAATGGTTCCTCACATACAACGGTGGTTCCAAAGCTAACTATCAAAATCAACGACACGACCTCGATTGAAACTCAAAATTCAACATCGGCTGCTAACACACCACCATTACCAAAGTTAACCATTAAGACAGGAACAGACGGTCACACCGAATCTATTATTTCGAATATTTCTCCTGCTTCATCGACAACATCAGCATCTTCATCAGTGGGCTCGTCGTCCTTAACGTCCCCAGCTGTTCCTAGTTCACCTGCAGTATCAACAACATTAACTTTACCAAAATTTACTATAAAGCCCCTGCCAAAAGCAAATGAGCAACCTTCTATACCCAAATTTTGTATAAAGACTAATATGCTGTGTACGGAAATGTCAGAGGATTCAGCACTTTCAAAAATACCCAAATTGACTATAAAAACTGGACAGGAACATGCAGTTATTATTACACAACGAAATGATCACATGAATGCGGCTGGAATACCAAAGCTGACAATAAAAACGAAGTCCTTGGATATTCCAGATGATACAAGCGCAGACACTGGCAGTGCTGTTATGGAAAAAATTCCTAAACTTACAATAAAAACCAATATGCCAAATGAAACATTAAAGTCCAATAAAATAAAAGGTACTCCAGAAGCATCGCCTGACAATATTATTTTGGAATCACCTAAGCAACAGGCTGTGCCTAAGATAACAATAAGCAGACAATCGCTTCAAATGGATAAGCAGTTTGATAATAGAGAAGGTGTGACGAAAATGACAATAAAGTCACTTAATCATTCAGACTTTTCAATAAAATATCCATTGAATCGACCGTCCTCAACTGAAGAAAGTGGTATCAGCGATGATGCAGAGCAGGAAGATTATGAAACAGAACATAATAAAACTGTACCAAAACTAACTATAAAAAATTTGGGATCACCTCAGCTCAAAATTGTGGCCGATGCACAATCAGATTTAAATAAAAATGCTAACCCCTCAATTGCTACTGCTGAAGTAGACGATTTTAGTGATCTTTTGAATGTTGAAAACGTTGGTGAAGAGTCAAGTAACTCCCAAGAGTTTTGTGGGTTTAATGACCAACTTGTCAATGACTGTTCCGCTCACATTGCCATGGCTAACGAAAGATCTACTAACATACATCGTAATTCCGATGATATGGATATTGATGAGAGTCTTAAAATGCAACATGAACCACAAATTTTCCAAAACGCCTCCCATATGAAAGATAAGCCGCCGTCTACCACACATGAAGCGGAATGCAACGGCGGCGGGACATTAAATGAATATCCTAAAACTGAAAATATTATCGATACTGTGGATTTAACTTCTTCTGCAGGGAGTTCGCCAGCTCAACTTAGTCAATTTGATTACAATGACGATGAAGAAGAAAGAAAATCTACTGCTTTATGTAACGACGTAGTGCCTTCAACAAGCATTTTGATGGAGCGACTGCAAAGAGAAACATCAGTTATAAAAAAAGTTATTGCTGAAGGCAGTCCAATGGACAATACCCCAACACTACCTATGGCAAATCCTGCGAACAATTCATCAACTTCACTTAAATACCCTCAGTTAACGGAACGGCTACTTACTAATGGATCGACGCTCGATAATTTAGCCACGAGTCTTACACAATCTAATAGCAACAGCGAGGAGAATATTATTGATTCTATAGAAATCCTCGATTCTCCTGAATGCAGCTCTCAAAATTCGTCTGACGCCCAATTTGATAATACCTGTTCTACTAATGTCAACAAGGAAACTCAAAATGGGTTGCGTTACACAAAAGAGGCTCACCTTCTTGCCATGAATAACAACAATGTAAGCTTGAAAAGACAGGCGTCTCTTGATAGTGAAAATTCAAATCAATTTAATATAAATGTAGGCAATGGGCTAAAAGAACTGCCCTCTAAATTGAGAAAATTAGAAAATGACAATTACAACACAGGCAAAACAGTCAGTGAAAGTAACTCTACACATAGAGAAAACTTCGATGAAAATTTCGAGCAGGATACGTCCACCCCTGTGTTAGAAAATAATCCATTAAATATTTCAACTATTTCACAAACTGGACTTCCTATCCATCAGCGGTTGCGAAAGCAAAAACATGAACATTTACTACCCATTCCAGCAGACGAAGTTGGCAACACAATACAATCTAACTCTGAAGATGATGTTCAGTGCCAGAATGATAATTCGACACCTATTATTAAGAAAAGAGGTCGACCAAAAAAATCAGATGTTGCTGCGATTCCGTCAAAAACCAAAGAAGAAACAACCACAAATGTAACGGCAAATGCTGTTGACAATAAATCACGAAGAGTTCAATTGTTACGAAAGCGATTAGCAATAGATATGGTAGACGCCGAGCAACCAATAGTAGCCACTGCTCTAGTTGATTCTGTTAAAGATGGCGAGGGTGTAATCGAACATCAAAATAATGTGGATGCTGCAAAGCGTGAAAGAAATTTAAGAACGCCTTTGAGAACTTCAAGAAGAAGTAATACACCAAATACCCTCCAAATTGAATCCCGACACGCCACCGGGAAGCTAATAGCCCCTCTTGATGGCAGGAGAGCGGTAAAAGAAATCGAAACCGAAAGTGACTTTAACCATTTTCTAGAGTCAAATTCATCAGTATCATCTGTTAGCTCTCACACTTCGTCCACAGCAAACGTCAACACAACAACTATCTTAAATAGTGCAAGCACCTCTATGCCTTCACAAATCGATTTGACAATGTCCTCTTCTTCAAGTAGTAGCAATGGTAGTACAACGAACACAATAACAACAGTCGAGGCAACTTCCATGCTTCCTCCCACAACGATATTATCGTCTGATCCTCTGCCGGATGTTGTGTTTCAGCCTAATGATTTTTCTTCAATGATGGCAACCCAACAACTGAACGAATCGTCTCTTTCTGTACACACGAAATCACGATTTGAAGAATCGCAAAATGAAGAAGTACAAGGTGAATTTAGCGGTGCAGACAATTCAGAAGGTCAGTATATTCAAAATTAATTGATTAAATAATTCATTAATGAAATATTTACAAACATATGTTTGTATTCAGACGATTCCACAAGTTCATCTACTACTTTATGCCGAGGTAGAGGTCGTCTTCGGGGAGTACGAGGCGGACGTACTCCTGGACGAGGTAATCGTCCTCATAATTTGGGTCGGGGTTCCACCGGAACGGCAAAATCAATAGCTATGAATAGGCCGCGATGTGTAGGTGCCCTAAAGCACACGCCAGACCCAGAGAGGATAAAAGGATTGTATAGTCCGGTAAGTAGATTTAAAAAATAACATTACGTTCGTAACTTTATGCGCATTAATTTCATCGTAAATATTTGTTAACGTGTCAATGGCCACATAATTTGTTTCGATCTAACCTATTTACAAAATTGCTACTTTGATGGGATGTAGCCAGAGATCTTCTGGAGTGAGTTGGGTAGGTTTGGCTGTGCAATTTAAGAGATGCAGCGTACCGTGCGGACCTGTATCACACGTCGGGCAGGTTGTTTTTATAATATACTCATAAAAATGACGCATTCAACAATAGGGGCTTCGGACCTTAACACATAAAACAATCGCAGACAATAGAAAAGATTCAATGTTACCAAGTTTTTACTGAATATATTAGAAATGCGTTGTAAAGAAGAAATTTACTTGCAATCGTGTGATCGACGGTATATGCAACGGACTGTTTTCATGCTACATACTTATACAAATTGTAAACTTTAAGCATTTTACATTAATAGTGTTTCGAAATATATTCTTCGGACAGAAATGAACATAAACCCCTAGTTATTATTATGTTGCAGAATATTTAGGCTTAATCCCATAATTGTTTTTATTTTTTTATAAAAACAAGGTTGTTTGTATTATTGAAGAAATATAGTAATGTTTACCCGTGGATGAGGAAGGAAATATCGTGGTTTCAGCAACAAATCCTTATCAGTTCCCTTGGTTTTGTCTGGGGTATACATTAAGAGTTTTTGAAATATACTCATACAATTGACGTATTCAACAGTTGATACTTCGGACCTTAACACTTAAAACAATCGCAGACAAAGGAGGAGATTCTAAGTGGCCGTTCTGCACCGAAGAACTGCTTACTGAGCACAAGTTTTTACTGAATATGTTAGGAATGCGTTGTAGATTCGAGTTGATACTTCGGACCTTAACACTTAAAACAATCGCAGACAGAGGAGATTCTTGTAAAGAAGAAATTTACTTGCAATCGTGTGATCGACGGTATATGCAACGGACTATTTTCATGCTACATACTTATACAAATTGTAAACATTAAGCATTTTACATTAATAGTGTTTCGAAATATATTCTTCGGACAGAAATGAACATAAACCCCTAGTTATTATTATGTTGCAGAATATTTAGGCTTAATCCCATAATTGTTTTTATTTTTTTATAAAAACAAGGTTGTTTGTATTATTGAAGAAATATAGTAATGTTTACCCGTGGATGAGGAAGGAAATATCGTGGTTTCAGCAACAAATCCTTATCAGTTCCCTTGGTTTTGTCTGGGGTATACATTAAGAGTTTTTGAAATATACTCATACAATTGACGTATTCAACAGTTGATACTTTGGACCTTAACACTTAAAACAATCGCAGACAAAGGAGGAGATTCTAAGTGGCCGTTCTGCACCGAAGAACTGCTTACTGAGCACAAGTTTTTACTGAATATGTTAGGAATGCGTTGTATATTCGAGTTGATACTTCTGAATATGTTAGGAATGCGTTGTAGATTCGAGTTGATACTTCGGACCTTAACACTTAAAACAATCGCAGACAGAGGAGATTCTTGTAAAGAAGAAATTTACTTGCAATCGTGTGATCGACGGTATATGCAACGGACTATTTTCATGCTACATACTTATACAAATTGTAAACATTAAGCATTTTACATTAATAGTGTTTCGAAATATATTCTTCGGACAGAAATGAACATAAACCCCTAGTTATTATTATGTTGCAGAATATTTAGGCTTAATCCCATAATTGTTTTTATTTTTTTATAAAAACAAGGTTGTTTGTATTATTGAAGAAATATAGTAATGTTTACCCGTGGATGAGGAAGGAAATATCGTGGTTTCAGCAACAAATCCTTATCAGTTCCCTTGGTTTTGTCTGGGGTATACATTAAGAGTTTTTGAAATATACTTAATCCCATAATTGTTTTTATTTTTTTATAAAAACAAGGTTGTTTGTATTATTGAAGAAATATAGTAATGTTTACCCGTGGATGAGGAAGGAAATATCGTGGTTTCAGCAACAAATCCTTATCAGTTCCCTTGGTTTTGTCTGGGGTATACATTAAGAGTTTTTGAAATATACTCATACAATTGACGTATTCAACAGTTGATACTTTGGACCTTAACACTTAAAACAATCGCAGACAAAGGAGGAGATTCTAAGTGGCCGTTCTGCACCGAAGAACTGCTTACTGAGCACAAGTTTTTACTGAATATGTTAGGAATGCGTTGTATATTCGAGTTGATACTTCGGACCTTAACACTTAAAACAATCGCAGACAGAGGAGATTCTTGTAAAGAAGAAATTTACTTGCAATCGTGTGATCGACGGTATATGCAACGGACTATTTTCATGCTACATACTTATACAAATTGTAAACTTTAAGCATTTTACATTAATAGTGTTTCGAAATATATTCTTCGGACAGAAATGAACATAAACCCCTAGTTATTATTATGTTGCAGAATATTTAGGCTTAATCCCATAATTGTTTTTATTTTTTTTATAAAAAACAAGGTTGTTTGTATTATTGAAGAAATATAGTAATGTTTACCCGTGGATGAGGAAGGAAATATCGTGGTTTCAGCAACAAATCCTTATCAGTTCCCTTGGTTTTGTCTGGGGTATACATTAAGAGTTTTTGAAATATACTTAATCCCATAATTGTTTTATTTTTTTATAAAAACAAGGTTGTTTGTATTATTGAAGAAATATAGTAATGTTTACCCGTGGATGAGGAAGGAAATATCGTGGTTTCAGCAACAAATCCTTATCAGTTCCCTTGGTTTTGTCTGGGGTATACATTAAGAGTTTTTGAAATATACTCATACAATTGACGTATTCAACAGTTGATACTTTGGACCTTAACACTTAAAACAATCGCAGACAAAGGAGGAGATTCTAAGTGGCCGTTCTGCACCGAAGAACTGCTTACTGAGCACAAGTTTTTACTGAATATGTTAGGAATGCGTTGTATATTCGAGTTGATACTTCGGACCTTAACACTTAAAACAATCGCAGACAGAGGAGATTCTTGTAAAGAAGAAATTTACTTGCAATCGTGTGATCGACGGTATATGCAACGGACTATTTTCATGCTACATACTTATACAAATTGTAAACATTAAGCATTTTACATTAATAGTGTTTCGAAATATATTCTTCGGACAGAAATGAACATAAACCCCTAGTTATTATTATGTTGCAGAATATTTAGGCTTAATCCCATAATTGTTTTTATTTTTTTATAAAAACAAGGTTGTTTGTATTATTGAAGAAATATAGTAATGTTTACCCGTGGATGAGGAAGGAAATATCGTGGTTTCAGCAACAAATCCTTATCAGTTCCCTTGGTTTTGTCTGGGGTATACATTAAGAGTTTTTGAAATATACTTAATCCCATAATTGTTTTTATTTTTTTATAAAAACAAGGTTGTTTGTATTATTGAAGAAATATAGTAATGTTTACCCGTGGATGAGGAAGGAAATATCGTGGTTTCAGCAACAAATCCTTATCAGTTCCCTTGGTTTTGTCTGGGGTATACATTAAGAGTTTTTGAAATATACTCATACAATTGACGTATTCAACAGTTGATACTTTGGACCTTAACACTTAAAACAATCGCAGACAAAGGAGGAGATTCTAAGTGGCCGTTCTGCACCGAAGAACTGCTTACTGAGCACAAGTTTTTACTGAATATGTTAGGAATGCGTTGTATATTCGAGTTGATACTTCTGAATATGTTAGGAATGCGTTGTAGATTCGAGTTGATACTTCGGACCTTAACACTTAAAACAATCGCAGACAGAGGAGATTCTTGTAAAGAAGAAATTTACTTGCAATCGTGTGATCGACGGTATATGCAACGGACTATTTTCATGCTACATACTTATACAAATTGTAAACATTAAGCATTTTACATTAATAGTGTTTCGAAATATATTCTTCGGACAGAAATGAACATAAACCCCTAGTTATTATTATGTTGCAGAATATTTAGGCTTAATCCCATAATTGTTTTTATTTTTTATAAAAACAAGGTTGTTTGTATTATTGAAGAAATATAGTAATGTTTACCCGTGGATGAGGAAGGAAATATCGTGGTTTCAGCAACAAATCCTTATCAGTTCCCTTGGTTTTGTCTGGGGTATACATTAAGAGTTTTTGAAATATACTTAATCCCATAATTGTTTTTATTTTTTTATAAAAACAAGGTTGTTTGTATTATTGAAGAAATATAGTAATGTTTACCCGTGGATGAGGAAGGAAATATCGTGGTTTCAGCAACAAATCCTTATCAGTTCCCTTGGTTTTGTCTGGGGTATACATTAAGAGTTTTTGAAATATACTCATACAATTGACGTATTCAACAGTTGATACTTTGGACCTTAACACTTAAAACAATCGCAGACAAAGGAGGAGATTCTAAGTGGCCGTTCTGCACCGAAGAACTGCTTACTGAGCACAAGTTTTTACTGAATATGTTAGGAATGCGTTGTATATTCGAGTTGATACTTCGGACCTTAACACTTAAAACAATCGCAGACAGAGGAGATTCTTGTAAAGAAGAAATTTACTTGCAATCGTGTGATCGACGGTATATGCAACGGACTATTTTCATGCTACATACTTATACAAATTGTAAACTTTAAGCATTTTACATTAATAGTGTTTCGAAATATATTCTTCGGACAGAAATGAACATAAACCCCTAGTTATTATTATGTTGCAGAATATTTAGGCTTAATCCCATAATTGTTTTTATTTTTTTTATAAAAACAAGGTTGTTTGTATTATTGAAGAAATATAGTAATGTTTACCCGTGGATGAGGAAGGAAATATCGTGGTTTCAGCAACAAATCCTTATCAGTTCCCTTGGTTTTGTCTGGGGTATACATTAAGAGTTTTTGAAATATACTTAATCCCATAATTGTTTTTATTTTTTTATAAAAACAAGGTTGTTTGTATTATTGAAGAAATATAGTAATGTTTACCCGTGGATGAGGAAGGAAATATCGTGGTTTCAGCAACAAATCCTTATCAGTTCCCTTGGTTTTGTCTGGGGTATACATTAAGAGTTTTTGAAATATACTCATACAATTGACGTATTCAACAGTTGATACTTTGGACCTTAACACTTAAAACAATCGCAGACAAAGGAGGAGATTCTAAGTGGCCGTTCTGCACCGAAGAACTGCTTACTGAGCACAAGTTTTTACTGAATATGTTAGGAATGCGTTGTATATTCGAGTTGATACTTCGGACCTTAACACTTAAAACAATCGCAGACAGAGGAGATTCTTGTAAAGAAGAAATTTACTTGCAATCGTGTGATCGACGGTATATGCAACGGACTATTTTCATGCTACATACTTATACAAATTGTAAACTTTAAGCATTTTACATTAATAGTGTTTCGAAATATATTCTTCGGACAGAAATGAACATAAACCCCTAGTTATTATTATGTTGCAGAATATTTAGGCTTAATCCCATAATTGTTTTTATTTTTTTATAAAAAACAAGGTTGTTTGTATTATTGAAGAAATATAGTAATGTTTACCCGTGGATGAGGAAGGAAATATCGTGGTTTCAGCAACAAATCCTTATCAGTTCCCTTGGTTTTGTCTGGGGTATACATTAAGAGTTTTTGAAATATACTCATACAATTGACGTATTCAACAGTTGATACTTCGGACCTTAACACTTAAAAGAATCGCAGACAAAGGAGGAGATTCTAAGTGGCTGTTCTGCACCGAAGAACTGCTTACTGAGCACAAGTTTTTACTGAATATGTTAAAAATGCGTTGTAGATTAGAGTTTTTCTTGCAAGCATGTGATCGTCGGTATATGCAACAGATTCTTTTTATACTACATACTTATATAAATTGTAAACATTAAGGAAAAGTTTTGCATTAATAGTTTATTCAAATATATTCATATAAATGACACATTCGAGGGTGGGTTCTTCGGACCGTTGTCTAAAAAATTGACATAAACCCGTAGTTATTTTGATGTTGCATAAAAGTTAGGCTTAATTCCATAATTGTTTTTTTATATAAACATAAGGTTGCTTTTATTATTGGAGAAAAATGGCAATGTTTACCAAGGGATTAAGGAGGTAATACCATGGTTTCAGCCACCAATCCCTATCAGTTCCCTTGGTTTTTGTCTGGGGATATAGGTTTTGAAATATACTCATACAAATGACGCATTCAACAGTAGGTACTTCCGACCTTAATACTTAAAACTATCACAGATAATGGAAGGGATTCAATGTGACCTATCTGCAACGAAGAACTGTTTACTGACCTCGAGTTTTTACTTAATATTTCCGAAATGCATTTTAAAGATGAATTTTACTCACAAGCATATGATCAGCGGTATATGCAACAGACTGTCTTCATGCTTTATACTTATATAAATTGTAAACATTAAGCAACAATTTATACCGTTGTCTAAAAAATGAATATAAACCCAAGACTTGATACCGTAGTTATTTTGATGTGGCAGAATAGTTAGGCTTAATCCCATAATTGTTTTTTTTTTATAAAACAAGGTTGTTTTTATTAATAGAGAAAGGTGGTAATGTTTACAAGAGGACAAGCCACCAATCCTTATCAGTTCCTTTGATTTTTGTCTGGGGATATACATTAATAGTTTTTGAAATATACTCATACAATTGAGGTATTAAACAGTAGATACTTCGGACCTTAACACTTAAAACAATCGCAAACAAAGGAGGAGATTCTAAGTGGCCGATTTGCAAAAGTTTTACAATAATAGTTTTCTCAAATATATTCATATAAATGATGTATTCAAGTTTGGGTTCTTCGGACCGTTGTCTTAAAAATGAACATAAACCCGTAGTTATTTTGATGTTGCAGAATATTAAGGCTTAATACCAAATTTGTTTTCTTTTTATAAAAACTAGGTTGCTTTTATTATTGGAGAATTATAGTAATGTGTACCCGTGGATGAGGAAGGAAATATCATGGTTTCAGCAACCAATCCTTATCAGTTACCTTGGTCTTTGTCTGGGGTATACATAAATAGTTTTAGAAACATACTCATACTATTGACGCATTCAACAGTTGATACTTCGGACCTTAACACTTAAAACAATCGCAGACAAAGGAGGAGATTCTAAGTGACCGATCTGCACCGAAGAACGGTTTACTGAGCACAAGTTTTGCAAGCATGTGATCCGGCGGTATATGCAACAGACTCTTTTTTACTACATACTTATATAAATTGTAAACATTAAGCAAAATGTTTACATTAATAGTTTATTCAAATATATTCATATAAATGACACATTCGAGGGTGGGTTCTTCGGACCGTTGTCTAAAAAATTGACATAAACCCGTAGTTATTTTGATGTTGCATAAAAGTTAGGCTTAATTCCATAATTGTTTTTTTATATAAACATAAGTTTGCTTTTATTAGTGGAGAAAGATGCAAATGTTTACCAAGGGATTAAGGAGGTAATACCATGGTTTCAGCCACCAATCCCTATCAGTTCCCTTGGTTTTTGTCTGGGGATATAGGTTTTGAAATATACTCATACAAATGACGCATTCAACAGTAGGTACTTCCGACCTTAATACTTAAAACTATCACAGATAATGGAAGGGATTCAATGTGACCTATCTGCAACGAAGAACTATTTACTGACCTCGAGTTTTTACTTAATATTTCCGAAATGCATTTTAAAGATGAATTTTACTTACAAGCATATGTCGGCTGTATATGCAACAGACCGTCTTCATGCTTTATACTTATATAAATTGTAAACATTAAGCAACAATTTATACCGTTGTCTAAAAAATGAATATAAACCCAAGACTTGATACCGTAGTTATTTTGATGTGGCAGAATAGTTAGGCTTAATCCCATAATTGTTTTTTTTTATAAAGCAAGGTTGTTTTTATTAATAGAGAAAGGTGGTAATGTTTACAAGAGGACGGACAAGCCACCAATCCTTATCAGTTCCCTTGGTTTTTGTCTGGGGATATACATTAATAATTTTTGAAATATACTCATACAATTGACGTATTAAACAGTAGATACTTCGGACCTTAACACCTAAAACAATCGCAAACAAAGGAGGCGATTCTAAGTGGCCGATCTGCAAAAGTTTTACAATAATAGTTTTCTCAAATATATTCATAAAAATGATGCATTCAAGTTTGGGTTCTTCGGACCGTTGTCTAAAAAATGAACATAAACCCGTAGTTATTTTGATGTTGCAGAATATTAAGGCTTAATCCCAAAATTGTTTTCTTCTTATAAAAACAAGGTTGCTTTTATTATTGGAGAAATATAGTAATGTGTACCCGTGGATGAGGAAGGAAATATCATGGTTTCAGCAACCAATCCTTATCAGTTACCTTGGTTTATGTCTGGGGTATACATTAATAGTTTTAGAAATATACTCATACAATTGACGCATTCAACAGTTGATACTTCGGACCTTAACACATAAAACAATCGCTGACAAAGGAGTTGATACTTCGGACCTTAACACTTTAAACATTCGCAGACAAAGGAGGAGATTCTAAGTGACCGATTTGCACCGAAGAACGGTTTACTAAGCACAAGTTTTGCAAGCATGTGATCGGCGGTATATGCAACAGACTCTTTTTACTACATACTTACATAAATTGTAAACATTAAGCAAAATTTTTACATTAATAGTTTATTCAAATATATTCATATAAATGACACATTCGAGGGTGGGTTCTTCGGACCGTTGTCTAAAAAATTGACATAAACCCGTAGTTATTTTGATGTTGCATAATAGTTAGGCTTAATTCCATAATTGTTTTTTTATATAAACATAAGGTTGCTTTTATTATTGGAGAAAAATGGCAATGTTTACCAAGGGATTAAGGAGGTAATACCATGGTTTCAGCCACCAATCCCTATCAGTTCCCTTGGTTTTTGTCTGGGGATATAGGTTTTGAAATATACTCATACAAATGACGCATTCAACAGTAGGTACTTCCGACCTTAATACTTAAAACTATCACAGATAATGGAAGGGATTCAATGTGACCTATCTGCAACGAAGAACTGTTTACTGACCTCGAGTTTTTACTTAATATTTCCGAAATGCATTTTAAAGATAAATTTTACTTACAAGCATATGTCGGCTGTATATGCAACAGACCGTCTTCATGCTTTATACTTATATAAATTGTAAACATTAATCAACAATTTATACCATTGTCTAAGAAATGAATATAAACCCAGGACTTCATACCGTAGTTATTTTGATGTGGCAGAATAGTTAGGCTTAATCCCATAATTGTTTTTTTTTTTATAAAACAAGGTTGTTTTTATTGATAGAGAAAGGTGGTAATGTTTACCAGGGGACAAGCCATCAATCCTCATAAGTTCCATCGGTTTTGTTCTGAGGATATACATTAATAATTTATGAAATATACTCGTAAGATTGACACATTCAACAGTAGCTACTTCGGACCTTAACACTTAAAACAGTCGCAGACAATGGAAGGAATTCAAATTGACCTATCTGCAACGAAAAACTGTTTACTGAGCTCGAGTTTCTATTGAATATGTTAAACATGCGTTTTAAAGTAAAATTTTACTTCCAAACATATGATCGGCGGTACATACAACACACTGTTTTCATACTACATACTTATATAAATTGTAAACTTGAAGCAAAAGTTTTACATTAATAGTGTTTTGTAATATACTCGTAAAATGGCGCATTCAAGTGTCGGTACTTCGGACCGTTGTCTAAAAATAGTACAAAAATCGAGGACAAGTAGCTTATTGTTTGAAAATAGTTGAACAGATTATTTATATTTTTAGTAACTGAATATTGAATAAATATTGCTTCGTTCTTCACGTTGTAGGCACCCCAAGTATTCGAAGAGGATACCAGAATGAGCGCTGATTTATCACATTCTAGCATGCAGCCACAGTCTTCGCCACTGCATACAAGGTATACAATCAATAAATTATAAAATAATTATAAAATTGTAACTGAAATGATGTGACAATTTTAAACCATTTTCCAGCCAACCGGATTTTTATACTAATGAAGAATCCCAATCCTCTGTGATAAGTAATAACAGTATCTTGGATTCAAACATTTCTTTTTCATCGCAAAGTGCTTCTACTGCTAGGAAACCCATGAAAAAAAAGAAAATGGAAGTGTGTGTTGCAGAAGAGTAAGTAAGCCGATGTAAAAACGTCCAGAGTTCTACTAACAATCAATTGTTGTTATTTCTGTTTTAGTGCGGAGTTTACGGTTGCCTCTATAGCTGAATATGATTGGCCACCACCAAAGGGCTGTTGTCCATCAAAAAATCGTGACACTTTTATGATTCAGGAACAAGTTGCCATGTACTTGGGCATAAAAAGCTTCAAACGGAAATATCCCGAATTGCCTCGGCGTCAAATAGACATGGAGGAGCGAAATTGGCTGCAAGAAAAAGGTCTGGTAACTGAAAAAATGTGCGATTTGGGTATAACAGCTGTATGGGCATCCGATATTTTGGACATTATGTATACCGACTTTTATGATAAATATGAAGAGTATAAGGATTTCGTGAGACAAAAACATTTGCGAGAAATAGAAGCTAAGCAAAAGTCCTTGGGTCTCAATGTAGCTGGAAGGGGCTTACAAGCACGTGAAAGAGCGTTATTATCTACCAGTAAATGGAACTCATATTTCAACCGAACGTAGGTATTTTAATGTATTATTTCTGACAGAATATTAATGAACTATTGTTTCAGTCGCAAAGATGAACGTTTGTCTTTCCTCGATTTACAAACGTTAGTGGTTAATAAACCCTGCCCACGCACTGCTCCGATTTCGACAGTAATTAATCGGCCGGTTGCGGATGCTGTAGCATTAGCTGCTAAAGCTGAGAACATTGCGGAACCTCCTACTCTTCTGCAGCCACGTATTTGTGAACCTCGAAAACCAAGGGATTCTCATTACCCACTATCTCTGGTTCCTGGCCAATTTTGTGAGAAGTATTACAATTACTCAGCACTGGAACTAAGGTATCATATCAAAACATACATCTAAAGTGTAGGACGATTAAAAAAATATTTCTAAATATCCTTATACAGGAAAGTACCACTAAACACAATTTTGGAACTTCCATTTAAACTCTGGCAAGATAATGGGCAGGAAAATAACAGCTCTGATACGGACTCCGCAACCGAAAGTGTTGATAATAAAGTTGACCTGGTGGAATCAAGAACATTGTCAACAAAACGGCAAAACAAACGATGTGCACGTCTAAATCGTCCTTATGAAAATAGTTTTGCCGAATTTAAAATACCACCAATACCAGGTACTTCGGCATCGACAAGGAACTCTAGTGGTTCATCTTCGTCAGATGAATCATCCTCAGAAAGTGTAAGTAAATATAATTTGGTTACAAGCAGGATATAAAAATTTGTGCATATGTTCATGTCCGCAGGATTCCGATTCTTCTTGTTCATCATCGTCATTGTCGTCAGAAGATGTTTCGGATGAAGAGGATTCCCCGGCTATCTGTGCGGTTTGTTTGCGCCCGCATAATCGCAATCTGAATGACATGCCAGAATTGTTTGTGCAATGCTATACATGCCGACGGAAAGGTAAGGCAGTTAAGTAAAGCAAACAATGCCTTCTGTTATTTTCAATATATGTTTTTCAGTTCACCCTAGCTGTATTGAGATGCCGCGGCGGATGACACTCCGTGTTCGCAATTACAATTGGCAATGTGCTGATTGTAAGTGCTGCATTAAATGCAAACAAAAACAGGATGGAAATAAAATGTTATATTGTGAACAATGCGATCGTGGTTTTCACATATATTGCCTTGGAATAAAGGCGGTGCCTGAAGGTAAGAAAATGATCTTTCACAGTGTAGTACATATAGATTCTAACTTCGAATTCTACTCTGATTATATTAAATCTAAAGTATACTTCATTTTGCGTAAAATATGTTCTAGTAGTTTTTATTTTCCTACTTGGGTCAAAATAAGAACTACTCATACATTTTTGATGCCACAGATCCTTTATGTCATTGAAGTCTCAACAGGGACATCTGAATATAATTTGTTGAAATGGAAACGTAATCTAAATAGTGTAGCTAAGTTTGTCTAAGCTGAACATTCGTGAATATATTTCGTCTTTTCTAATCTATTGTATATTGATCTGCATAACATGTTGTACCATAACATAACATATATGTTAAATAGAATTATCTATGAGCTCATATATCTTTTAATATTATTACTTCTCTGTTCGGAAAAACTGTACTTTTACATCACCAGCTTTTAGAAGGTCATTTAGTATCCACTATGTCCTTAAGAAATACTCGGATATTTATATGTTTCAAAATTAAGTAGTGTTAACTAGAATGGATGTAGTTCATAAAAGCTTTTTTTTGTTTTGCAGGTCGTTGGAGTTGCAATCGTTGCAGTATTTGTATGAGATGTGGGGCAACCACGCCGGAAGGCATACCATCCTATAATCAGTTGTTGAACTCTCCAAGTGGAGATCAAGGTAAACAGCATCGCCATAAAAGGCTCAAATGGGTCAATGAATATCGCGTGGATCCGATTACAAAGGTTAAAGAACATACATCTATGCTGTGTGTTCCGTGCGCCAAAATGAAAGCGACAAAGAGAAACCAAGCATCATTTCACAACATTTCAAATGGACTTGCTCTTTCTCCAGGTGCGCGCGGTAGTGATCCAAGTAGTTCACCTGGTGTAGTATCTTCGATGACACCAACATTGAGTGCAGATGCAGCGTACACGGAAACCACAACGGAAGACACTGCGAGTAGCATTGGGTCGAACGTGAAACCAAGTGAGGAGTTAAGTTGTTCAGAGAAAAGTGAAAGCGGTATGCTTTTGACAAACTCTAAAAATGCCCCTCCGCCAGTAGTTGCCTGAGTGGGGGTTATACGGTGGCATTTTCCCAAGCCGCAGCCACCGAAGCAATCACCTTGTTCTTCAACGAATTTATAACAGACTAGTTCTAATGAGGAAGAACTTCGAAAAGAGCGCAGGTTGGGCAACAGAATATAGTTTTTACTTTAATATATTTATGTATTTTTTATTTTATGCGAATTAAAAATGGAAAAGTGCATTTATAAACATTACCAATTGGTTTGTTTTGTGGAAAAGAAAGTATATATGTAAATTCAGAACATGTTTTTGACTGATCTGTACGAATAATTTTTCTGATCCCCAAAATTGTATATTAAGTCACACAAATTACTTTTAATAAAATATGATAGTCCTTTCTAACAAATCAACTCGTGGTTTAATACTAGGACATTGATTAGCATCTCAAATCGAGAATAGCCAGAAGGAAAGTGTGCGAAGAATTTGCAGACATTCAATACAATAAAAGCCCAAAAAGCCAAACATTGATGTGAGAACTCCACATTTATTTTCTACGATCAATATTTTACAACCACAATAAAGCTTTAATCATAATATACTGCATAAACAAATATGAGGGAAGTTTATTTTGTACTTACTGGAGATGTATGTAAACCCCAGGGCAATATGGCTGGTGGTATTTTAGGCGGTGGCTTTTTCTTGGAACAGGAACAGTCGGTGCGAATTTCGATGAGTATGATGTTAATTTTATATGAAAATACAGTAATTTGGCTTTGGTGGATGGATAAAATGGAAGTTGGTTTGTTATAATAATCATTTTAATAATTTGGAGTAATTTTTCTTTTGGATGTTGTGTTATTTAGATGGTTTTTTTCAGTAGAACACTTGTTGGATTTATGTAAGGTGGTTTTCTGGGGCTTTGGCTTTTTCTAGGAAGAGGGGAGAGTCTGGGAAATTCTCTTTTGGAACACTGATGCTGGTTGTATTTATACACTCAGTTGATTCTCACAGATGGTTATTAAAACGGCCATAAGCCATTGTAGCACCGTGTCGGAACTATGCCATAGGTTGCTAGGGAGGTTAGTCCATTGGTGCGAGTATGATAGACTAGATGCATTACGGCCATTAGTCATCTAGTGGTGAAAACTTAAGATCATATATGGCCCGCACAATGGTTTGTGGTGTGTTGTCTCTACAACAACACACAACCAGTAAGTTCAAAAGTAGGGCGGGGCCGACTATATGATACCCTACACCACTATGCGTATTTAGTAGAGCTGCCGTAAAAAAGTGTTTATATTGGGTATTTAAGTGACGTAGATCCTACCTAATAACATCGCAGTACTGTGCATAAAATTATTTCGATAAGGATTATGTTAAAATATATTTATTAAAGCAATAGGTATACCGGACCGAGTTTCACTAAACGGTAAAATTCGGTTGAATATGAAAAACTATTCAATTTGGGCTGATATTACATATATGGTGAGCAATAACCGTAAAATCGGATGAAGATGTATATCGCAGCTATATAAAAATTTTAACCGATCTCGATAAAATTTGGAATACGTATTTTCAAGCGATATCTGATGCTCTGTACCAAATACCACTCTTGTAGAGTGCATATTACGCATTTGAGGAACTTAAAAACCCAAATCGGATGAAACACATAAATTTGAAGTACTTGCTTCTACACTGAATTCGGCCGGATGTGCCCAAATGTAGGTCATTTGGACAGATATTGGTCATTGGGTTTGAAGATATATATGGGAGTTATACCTATTTTCACCAATCTCATTAGAGTTCATCCGTGGGCCAAACAAACCTTGTTTGCAAAATTTCATCTCAATCGCAAAAGTACATGGGTAGACGGACGGACGAACTGACATGCATATGGGAGCTATATCCTAATTTGATCCGGTCTCGTTTAAATTTGACAGAGGTATTTTCGAGATCCATAAGTTATCTAGTACCAAATACAATTCTTGTAGAGTGCATACTACGCGTGTGAGGGACTTTAAGCCCCAAATCGGATAAAACATATATATGGGAGCTATAGGTATATCTAAACCGATTTTCAAAAATTTTATGTATTTGCTTCTAGCCTTAATTTGGTCGGATATGGCAAAAATCAGGTCATTTGGACTGATATTAACCCGAAATATCTAAACAGATTTACACCAAATTTGAAGTACTGGTTTCTAGGATGAATTCACTCGGAACTGGCAATATTCAGTCCATTTGGATTAATATTAGCCATTGGGTGATATTGGCCGAAATCGGTTGAAGATTTATATGGGAGCTATATACTAATCCAATCCGATCTCGATAAACTTTGACTGAGGTATTTTCGAGATTCATAAGTTATTTAGTACCAAATATCATTCATGTGGAGTGCATATTATGCGTGTGAGGGACTTTACCACCAAATCAAATAAACCATATATATGGGAGCTATAGCTATATCTAAACCGATTTACACCAAATTTGAAGTACTGGTTTCTAGGATGAATTCAGTCGTAATTGACGACATTAAGTCCATTTGGGTTGATATTAGCCATTTAGTCCACAATAAACCTGAAATCGGATAAAGATATATATAAAATCTATATCCTAATCTGAACCGATCTCGATAAAATTTGGAATACATATTTTCAAGCGGTATCTGATGTCCGGTGCCAAATATCATTCTAGTGAAGTGCATATTACTCATGTGAGCGATTAAAAACTCCAAATCGGATAAAGCATATATAAGGTTGCTATAGCCATATCTGAACCGATTTCCCCCAAATTTGATGTATTTTCTTCTAGACTGCATTCGGTCAGATGTGCCAAAATGCAGGTCATTTGGACAGCCGAAATCGATTGAAGATATATATGGGAGCTATATCTAAATTTGAACCGATTCTCACCAACTTCAATAGGGTTCGTCCGTGGGTAAGAATTGTTTGCAAAATTCCATCTCAACCGGATAATAAATACGACCTGCATTTTGTTCACAAAAATACACGGACAGACGGACGAACTAAACCGATTTACACCAAATTTGAAGTACTGGTTTCTAGGATGAATTCAGTCGTAATTGACGAAATTCAGTCCAATTGGGTTGATATTAGCCATTTAGTACACAATTAACCTGAAATCGGATAAATATATATATATATATATATATATATATATGAAAGCTATATCCTAATCTGAACCGATCTCGATAAAATTTGGAATACGTATTTTCAAGCGGTATCTGATGCCCGGTGCCAAATATCATTCTAGTGAAGTGCATATTACGCATGTGAGGGACTTAAAACTCCAAATGGGATAAGGAATATATATGCTATAGCCATATCTGAACCGATTTTCCCGAATTTGATGTACTTGCTTCTTGACTGAATTCGCTCGGATGTGCCAAAATGCAGGTCATTTGGACAGATATTGGCCGAAATCGGTTGAAGATATATATGGGAGTTATATCTAAATTTGAACCGATTCTCACCAATTTCAATAGAGTTCGTCCGTGGGTAAAAATTGTTTGCAAAAATTCAACTCAATCGGATAATAAATGCGACCTGCATTTTGTTCACAAAAATACACGGACAGACGGACGAACTAAACCGATTTACACCAAATTTGAGTACTGGTTTCTAGGATGAATTCAGTCCATTTGGGTTGATATTAGCCATTTAGTACACAATTAACCTGAAATCGGATAAATATATATATATGAAAGCTATATCCTAATCTGAACCGATCTCGATAAAATTTGGAATACGTATTTTCAAGCGGTATCTGATGCCCGGTGCCAAATATCATTCATATTGAGTGCATATTACGCGTGTGAGGGACTTTAAGCAAATCAGATAAACCATATATATGGAGCTATAGCTATATCTAAACCGATTTACACCACATTTGAAGTACTGGTTTCTAGGATGAATTCAGTCGTAATTGACGAAATTCAGTCCATTTGGGCTGATATTAGCCATTTAGTACACAATAAACCTGAAATCGGATAAAGATATATATAAAAGCTATATCCTAATCTAAACCGATCTCGATAAAATTTGGAATACGTATTTTCAAGCGGTATCTGATGCCCGGTGCCAAATATCATTCTAGTGAAGTGCATATTACGCATGTGAGGGACTTAAAACTCCAAATCGGATAAGGCATATATAAGGGTGCTATAGCCATATCTGAACCGATTTTCCCGAATTTGATGTACTTGCTTCTTGACTGAATTCGCTCGGATGTGCCAAAATGCAGGTCATTTGGACAGATATTGGGCGAAATCGGTTGAAGATATATATGGGAGTTATATCTAAATTTGAACCGAGTCTCACCAATTTAAATAGGGTTCGTCCGTGGTTAAAAATTGTTTGCAAAATTCCATCTCAACCGGATAATAAATACGACCTGCATTTTGTTCGCAAAAATACACGGACAGACGGACGAACAAAACCAATTTACACCAAATTTGAAGTACTGGTTTCTAGGATGAATTCAGTCGTAATTGACGAAATTCAGTCCATTTGGGCTGATATTAGTCATTTAGTACACAATTAACCTGAAATCGGATAAAGATATATATGAAAGCTATATCCTAATCTAAACCGATCTCGATAAAATTTGGAATACGTATTTTCAAGCGGTATCTGATGCCCGGTGCCAAATATCATTCTAGTGAAGTGCATATTACGCATGTGAGGGACTTAAAACTCCAAATCGGATAAGGCATATATAAGGTGCTATATCCATATCTGAACCGATTTTCCCGAATTTGATGTACTTGCTTCTTGACTGAATTCGCTCGGATGTGCCAAAATGCAGGTCATTTGGACAGATATTGGCCGAAATCGGTTGAAGATATATATGGGAGTTATGTCTAAATTTGAACCGATTCTCACCAATTTCAATAGGGTTCGTCCGTGGGTAAAAATTGTTTGCAAAATTTCATCTCAATCGGATAATAAATGCGACCTGCATTTTGTTCACAAAAATACACGGACAGACGGACGAACTAAACCGATTTACACCAAATTTGAGTACTGGTTTCTAGGATGAATTCAGTCGTAATTGACGAAATTCAGTCCATTTGGGCTGATATTAGCCATTTAGTACACAATAAACCTGAAATCGGATAAAGATATATATGAAAGCTATATCCTAATCTAAACCGATCTCGATAAAATTTGGAATACGTATTTTCAAGCGGTATCTGATGCCCGGTGCCAAATATCATTCTAGTGAAGTGCATATTACGCATGTGAGGGACTTAAAACTCCAAATCGGATAAGGCATATATAAGGTGCTATATCCATATCTGAACCGATTTTCCCGAATTTGATGTACTTGCTTCTTGACTGAATTCGCTCGGATGTGCCAAAATGCAGGTCATTTGGACAGATATTGGCCGAAATCGGTTGAAGATATATATGGGAGTTATGTCTAAATTTGAACCGATTCTCACCAATTTCAATAGGGTTCGTCCGTGGGTAAAAATTGTTTGCAAAATTTCATCTCAATCGGATAATAAGTGCGACCTGCATTTTGTTCACAAAAATACACGGACAGACGGACTGACATGCATAAATCGACTCAGAAAGTGATTCTCTGAGGAGTCTCAAAAGTAACTATGGGTCTATCTCGCTTCCTTGTATGCGACAGTCTAGTGCAACGTGCCGAAGAATCAACTCAAATTTTGATTTTCCGTACAACCGAGTAACGTGTATGCCTATCTAGGCACGTCAAGTTCTCGTTTTAATGCAAACCAGATATTTAGTATTTTTATGTAACATTTATAAAGTAATTGTCGGCAATTTGGTTAAACTAGGTCCCCCTTTTGTATACTCATCCACATTCACAAAAATTTTCACAGGAATTTCCTGCAATTTTGTATTTATTTTCTCTTACCTTTACATATCGTGCTAATCGATAGATGTGTTCCTAGTCTTATCACACCTTTTCATCATTTCATATTCTTGAATAAAACTACTCTGCGGAGTTTCTTCAATTTTATTCTTTATTAAATGTTTATAGTGTTGCTGCTACACGCTAAATACATACTGCTTTTGTAGTGTACCGTACAACTGAATTTCATTCATGTCGGTATAAAACAAACGTAGAATAACTGTAAAAATAATGCCAAAATTTCCAACTTAAGTACAATAACATTGATTCAAATTGAATATTGTGAAAAATAATCATGATTATAATTAAGAGCTTTTATATATATATACAGTGTGAAGTGACACCCATTGCATTTAACTATTTACAATTTATGAAATATCCTCCGTTCCGAATATATTTCATTGGCCAAAAAATGGACTGTCGCATTTAAGAGCTAGGTGTGTTCATTTCAACCTATTAATTAGCCGTTATGTTTTAAATATTAGTACATTCATTTATTTCTAAAACGATTTGCTTTCCATTTCGATAGGTTTAAAATTTAGATTACGTAACCGAACAATATTTAGATGAATTTTACGTCGCAACAATCTGAATTATATTTATGGTGTTTCGCGACTATAACAACTATCAGTAAGTTGCACTAAAACAAATATTGAATCCATTAAAAATGCTCAAGCCTACAAAGTCAAGAAACAGTATCGATTTCGCAATCGCATAGTACCGTCGCGTCAACTTAGCTTGTTGCATAGTATCGTTAAAAAGGAAAGATTGCGGGTTTGAAGTTGTTAACGTTGTTTTCCATCTAGGTAATCTTAATAACAATTTTTGCGGTAGTAAGCTACATATTTGAATATGTGCAATAGTACCATATTCGAAACAAACGGCACACATAGATCTACACAACCTCTTATGCAAAGTTCTTTAATGCTAACTATGTGAATTTAATGTAAATATGTTGCCGCTTCTTTGAACATACATCTTAATATTGTAATTATCTCTAATAATTCCTCGCTACATATTTCAAAGACATAATTTTTGGATAGTTATATGTACAAATGTATGTGTGTCTGTATGTGCTTATATATGAATATATTTATTAACTAGACGTAACATTAATGAACAATTTTCTAAAATTTCAGTCTTTAACTTAGCTCTTTAAAACAATTTCTACTTTGATTTGAGAATAAATCAAGGAACCAGTAATTAGAACGGTACAAGTGGAAGCGGAAACTATCGTTTATACATTGCTCTTCAAGTGTTGGAACTTTGTGAAAACACTCTGAACTTGAAGTAAGTTACGAACGAATTAAAATTTTAGAGCAATGATATTATTTGTACGATCTGACAAAAAAGATCGAGTAATCGTTAGTATTGCCTATCCATTTTCGCACAAATTGCCCGTTCATAAATTAATAATTCAGATCCACTTTGTTGTTCTTTTTCCCATTTGAGACTGCTTACATGTACAATATTAAAATAAATACTACATTATACAATATGGTTCCTTATACAGATTTCAAATATACATGCTTACAATGAAATGTAGGGACTTGTTTCATCATCTTTTTATATAACAACATAATTCTGATTTACAAGGCACATTTTTGAAAAATATCATCTTATGCTAGTTTATCTTATTGGTTTTACCTAAATTATATACGTTTCAACAATGTCAAAATATCCTTTTAAATTTACTAGGAGAGTGAATTAGGGGTCTTGGACAAACGTTAGAAGTAATAAACATAGAATAGTATTGTTGTTGAGTGCATCGATATTAAATTTCGGTCAAATCAGAACGATGCTGAAGTAATGGATGAATGAGATGCAAATCGAAATTTTTAAAGTTGTGGGAGTGTAGAAATTAACCACATTCCTATGACAAAAACCCAATTTGCAGAGGCATGTGACGCAATTAAAATGCAGTAAATTATTACTTCGACAATGTCCACAGGATAGGATGCGTATCAGCCAATTCACTCGAAGGTTTCATTATCTTTTGTTAGAACTAGCTCTGGATATTTTGTTGGAAAGGTCGTCAGCAATAGTAGAGAACGAATTAGATTTTTCGTCGAAAAAAGAAGTTTGAATTTGTTTTGGACTCCCAATATTTGTAGACATATTGTCCCAATTCTCTCTCCCTTCTACTGTGTTTGCCATTTGGTGTATATTACCGGTCTGACTTCTAAAACTATTTCTATTTACTTTAGCCACGTTTGTGGTTGAGGAAATTGATTCGCTAATAAACTGTTTACCACCCCGCAGAATGCCCCACCATGCTGGCATAGTCAGAGACCACCAGGAATTTGGTAATCACCGTTCTGAGGAGTGCGTTGTTGACCCATAACCGCTGCCATACATGGTCGATGAACGGCGGAAGAATCCCAACGTGTCCAACGCTTTTATGGTTCGACGTATTAACTCATCCTTGTATTTCCAAATGGTCTTGTCCTCTTCGGAGTTTTCTCGGAACTCTTCGCAAGATTTCTTTAAGGTATTGACACAATCTGCCCGGTAGTGTTGCAAGTGTGCATCTTTAGTATCTACAGGGTAGGACTTGCACACACCGCCTAGACATGCCAGTGGAAAATGATTGTGCAGGGTCAGCACCTTCTCGGGATTGTGAAAACATTTGACGTATTGATTTGGCTTTGTGTAGTTTTTGGCCCGGTAGACGTGTTGCAGCATGTGCATGTATTTCGGTATGTCTTTGTGCCAACCGTGTTCATGCTGCTGGTCATCCAGGAAGTACACGTTGCGAAAATTGAAACTGTGGTATCCCTCCGGTCTGACTTTGAGGGAGTCTGGGACTACCTTGGCCATCAATTCCGACCATAAAACGAAATTGCCTTTTGGCATAATAACTTCGTCGATGTCTAGCAGCGCTATATAATCGTAAAGGTATAAATTTTTGTACAAACAATCGTTATAGGGTATAACTTCGTTCTGTCGCTTGTGATTAGTCTTTTTAGTTAAGTAGAGGTGCTGGAATCCGGGCACGTTTGGTTGGCCACCCGGCAGTGTCAGGGGAATTACTCTCACTTTGCCTTCCTGTTCGTAGTGATTCAACACCTTGGAAATATTTGGATGTACTTGTAGATTGTAAAAGAAAATTTTATCGGCCCCCAACATGTTTAGAAGTTCTATCCACTCTATTAATCGCACTGACAAATCGTCATACAAGAAGTCTAAGCCCTTGACGCAAACCGCGAAGCCTTTTTTCTGGTCATCGGGGGGTCGGTTGTATATAACTCTTAAATTGTTTGTGGCCGTATCACATTCCTTTTCAACCATCGACACCGAACTGGGCACCACACCGTGGAAGGGTTTTGGTATTTGACACGCGATCAAATACGGCTGGTAGATGCCCTGTTTGTAATTTCCCCATTTGTTGTACCAGATGTACTTGTATTCATAGGTCTTGACAATAAACGGTTCTTTTTGGCCATCGAACCAAAACTGGCAATAGGTCTTTACTTTTGGTTCGATGCGATCGATCATTCCTAAAATTCGTACCGTGGGGCCCAGTAATGAATTTTTTCGAATATCGTAATAGGCTCCAAATAATTGAAATGTCCCATTGCTGGTCCGCATTGTTTGCCAGTAGATATTATTGAATTCCAGTTCAAATATAGATGGGTACTTGGCGCACGTGGACGATTTCTGTTGAAGAAAGTTCTTATTTTTACTCCAGTATGCAATCGGTAACGAAGGTATCCTTGATTCCACATCTCTCACCAGCTGATCGTCATCCATGGCTGAAAGAAAGAAGAAGAAATGACAAGCGATGAACTCACCTTTGCAAACATGATACTACGAATTGTTATTAATAGTCGTTTTAACAATGACAATCTTTGCAACCTTTGTCATGAGATGAGCAGTTCAGATCTTACCGGTTCTATTGTCAATCAGTATTTCGGACGGATCAAATCGATCTGTTGTTGTGGAAGTCGTCTCGGCATATCTGAGGACATCTTTCTGGAGGAGTATGCGACCGCTCAAGGGCACGGAAACGTACTCCTGCGGAACAATATTGGTGCCGTGCATTTTGAACACGCCAATTATCACAAAAGACCAAACGCATAGCGTAAATAGGATTTTTAGAATAACTTTTGTTCGTGCCATTGTGACAAGTGGTTCGAAGGATCGTGGATTTGACAGTCTCTTGCTTCCACAGGTGGGTACCCTCCTCAGATAGGTTTAATGGGAAAATTTGCCGTCATGGGCCACAAAATCACAGGACTGGCGACGAGTAAAAAAAGAAGCTTTCCTCTTGCGGGACTTTGTTGCTGGGTTAGCCTGCAATGAAAGAAAAATGTAAAGAAATAATTAGCTTTAAAAATACTAGATTTCAATGCTCCGTTTAAAAGTGAGAGGTCAGTTTACAAATGCCTTTAAGGACTAGCAACACGAATGAGAATGAATAAAAAACCATGGAGAAAAATCAATTCCCATGAGGATATGTATGTCTATGAATTTTAATAATACGTGCTCATTTTAGTTTGTAATGACAGTATCCAACGTTGATCTTCGTTACACCAGTGCTTATTCTAGAGCCGTTCACATCTTTCTCAACATACAAAACTAATACTCCCAATATGTTTGGTATTGAAAATGGGCTTAATTGACTCAAACATAAGTCCCATATAACGGTTCCCCTTATTTTCGGTGTCTTGAAGGATTCAGCCATAACTTCCAACCTGTAACTTCCAAGCTGCATTTTGATGTTCAGATTTGAAGTATTTTGGTAATTGTCGACGCAACCGAAATATTTGTAATTTTAAATTTCACAATTTCAGTGTTCTTACTACGATAACCGATTTTCCCTTTATGATATCGAAGAAAATGCAAAACTAGTAGACTCTTGCAGCTACTGGAACATAGCATGTGTGTTTTAATTATATGGTATTCGTCCATGTGGCGCTACACTTAAATGACTGTAATTTCGCAATTTGTGTTGCCAATTTGTTCTGAAAGGAGCTAGAGCCCATTATGACCTAAAATTACCAATTTTCAGACAAATCCGTGAAAAAATGTGGCAAAAATCATCAAATTACCGAACATCGGGAGGTACCGTTATATGGGGCTACACCAAAACGTGGACCTATAATTACAATGACTCGCCACACGAACTGGAACCCATTATGACCGACAAATATCAATTTTTAGACAAATCCGTGAAAAAATGTGGCAAATTCATTAAATTACCAAACATCGGGAGGTACCGTTATATGGGAGCTATACCAAATCATGGACCCATACATGCAATGTCTCGCCACCGGAGCTGGAACCCATTATGACCTACAAATACCAGTTATCAGACAAATCCGTAAAAAAAATGTGGCATAAATCATCAAAATACCGAATATCGGGAGGTACCGTTATATGGGGACTATACCAGAACGTGGACCGATACATCTCATTTTCTATACCAATCATCCTAGACACAATACAAATTGCGCTGCTAAATTTTGGCGCTCCTTTCCAAGGTGGAGGGTATAAAAAGGATATACCTGGTATACCACAAAACGTCATATGCAATTTGACACCAATTGTACAGTGGAGTCGAATCAGCTGGCTTTTACAGCTACCTTCTTATAATTATACCGTGACTGTAGGGAAGGTGTTTGATATAAGGTGTAAGTGGCAATAACTTTCTTTTACGTTTTTTAAAACAACAACAAAAACGACAACTTTTCAATTTTTATAAATTGATTTATATTTGGTTCCAGGCAGAGCCATGATAAGCAGATATGGATCGTATCAGATTAAACCCTTGGTTAAAAAGAAAAATGTGTAAATGTGGAAGAGTTTGTAATTATTTCTGTGAATACCTTCTATTGAGCTTAAGTGATTAGAAATATTCAATACAAGTTCCGGTGTATCGTAACCACGTAGCCTCGACTTTAAGGCATCTCAAAGCCGACCGCTTTAGCCGTGCTCAGGACCGTTTTTTAACAAGTTTGTTTGAACTTTTCATTGGGCGTCTTCATAATACGAGTCGCAAACAGATAAGAACTCGCGATTAAATCAAGTTAGAAGAATAATTGTATAATTATCCGTAAGGCACTTTAAAGTTTAGAGTGTTGGTGATGCGTCATCCTCACTAAAAACATTACACCCGAACGTTATTTGGGAAGCCGTTGGCGATTCGGTTTTGCTTCCGTCCGGTACCAGTTAGAAAATAATGATTGAGATTCAGTCATTGACTTTGGTTCACTGATGAAACGAAAAAAAGACGCGTCCGAACCTGTTACTGATTTCAAGGTTGAACCCCCTGCTCGCCGTTTGAAAAAAGGGAAGTATTTTTATCTACATTCAGAATCACATGTAATCGTTTCAGTCTGCAGTTTTTACGCTCACATTTATTGCAACGGCTTTGCCTTTTTAGCAGTGATGAGATCAATGCTTTTTAATAATTTTCACTAGTCTGCACTTTACGAAAAGATGTAGCGAATTAATATAGCTCCACGTTTTCATATAGCTCCATATAAATGTATCGTTGTTTCGAAGGTTCTAACTACATGTCGAATCGTATGTAATTTGTCAATTTAATAATGAACTGATGACAAACTGATTTGTATGGACCTTTTCATAAAAAAGGAACAGTTTCTGATATTCTTCGCTGCATTTCCATATATTTATGCCAAAACTTTGAGATTTTATAGACATCACTTTTAGAACTATTGATATGGATTTGGACTCACTGCATTCTATCAGCTGCAGTCACACTTTCGCACATTGATTTTTGAACCCTTTAGTTTGACATATTTTAAAAGAAACACAAATGGCCAGCCAACATTGTTGATCTTCCAACTAAATGCCGCGGCAGCTTATCCCATGAAACATCAACAACATTTTCGATGAGTTCTGGCGGAATGGTGTATGCATGCTTGTATCTTCAAGAATTTCCACAGATTTATAACATTTTAACGTCGTGTCATAGATTCCAAAATATAAATCAAATCATTCGCAATGGATTCACAATTTCAAATGGGAACATGCATGCATACATATATATGTATGTAAACAATTCGTTGACAATTGCATGTGGCCTGCAATTGCATGGAAGAATTATCTATGATGAGTAGATAACGAAACTGCATATGACGACAGATTACAAAGTGTTGCTCACCCTTCCTGCTGGTGCAATTAAACGGTTTCGAGATTCGATACACACTTTATATCTGGTCAGGAGAACGATTCTGTGAACGAACGATTCTGTTTTTAGCGAGAATTTCCATTATGTAAGGCATTTCCACTTGAGGATCGCACGGATTTTTTGGCGAAATTATCCCACACTGTGTGGAATACAGAAGCGATCGGTTTGGATCAAATGGTGGATAATACATCTGTAAGTATCTGAAATGGATGGTGTGCAGCAAAACAAAAAAAAAAACATACGCAACAAAGCTAGGTGAATAATGATAAAGAAGAGTATCGTTTTCACCGTAATTACAACCAAGCAAACAGGTGGTGTTGGGTAAATTCAAGCCGGCAATGCTCATTTGTTAACATGACTGTGTTCCGAGTCGAGTCTGTACCTGTAACTGTCGTTGTTGCTGACGATGCCGATGGTTCTAAAAGTGGCGGGCGCATATAAGAGTAAATCTCCTTAGCTGAACAAGTGTTGTTGTTATTGAAAGTCTGGCCATGCTATGGCATATTTAGTTTCATGGAAGTCGACTACGAGCATCATCTCCGTTAGAACGTTGCGCATAATGGCAATGGTGACAATGGTGTGCAAATACCGTCCAATTGCAGGTGGACAAATGCATACGCACATGTAGAAGAGAGTACCTTATTTTCGTGAGAACTCTATTCGGAAAGACTAGATGACACCTTTCTTTGGACAGGGTCCATTGTGTGGCTCATAGTTAGGGCAATTGCATTGCTTATAACATTTGCCTAGAATGGCGTGTTGAGTTTTCACATGTGCATGTACATGTGTATGTGTGTATTATTCGATGTATGTACCTTTGTCACTCGCCAATTCATGCATTCAAAGGCCAATGCTAAAGTTAACAAGCGGCACACAGCACAAAACATTTAATGAGGTAATGTTTTTATTAATTATTTGAATCTGAAAATAAGCATCAGCCACATGACAGTGACTGTCCATAAATGGGCGGACGTATAGAGGGGTGGTTAACTATTCGGCTAGTCAATAGAGTCACGGTCAAGTAGTTCGTACGTCGATTGTATATATTAAGGTCTATCGCATGTGAAAAACTTAAAAAAATTAAGGCTACGTTTACGTTGGATCCCCTTCAGACATATGCCACAATGAGTTTTGTTCTCGCATATTCAGGATTCTGAAAATGATTTTTGTCGATCACACATAGCCTCGCAATCTTGCTGACTCTCGGTATTCCCAATATCTCTGGTAGGAAGGAATGCTTTCCCTTACAAAAGTTCAGTATGGGTCAATAATTCAGTAAAACCGTCACTATTTTAAGCCGTTTGGACTAATTTTCGCGACAAATCAGTTGTACATTCCCTTGCTCTAAGGCTATGAGCCATTATTTGGAAAATTCTCTTATATAATTCCGGAATTTCGATTAGCCTTCATTTAGAGGCATAAACATTTCGGATTCTCGTTGAATACAAATCTATTATTCGCAGGACATGACTTTGAAAAAGCTCCATATCGACAACGCCAAATTGTTGAGTATTTAAGGTCCTATTCCGTTGTTTTATGGAATAGGCTACTTTTGAACTAGTTCAATCAACCAGATTCATTTTTATTTATTGTGTTTTGCCTTTTTAAGGCGAATATCATATGTTTAGGATATTATTTGTTTTTCCTCTTTCGGGACGAGCATAATGATCTGTAATTTGCAATGAAAAGGAAAGCCAGGGAGATACTATCACAGACTGACTACTATGCGACGCGTTTCGCCATTGGTGGTAAACAATTTTTTCATGCATATTCAACAATTTATTTTAGTTTCGAACGAGTCCTTCCTCTGCTTATTCCACACTTAAATAATGTTTTTATGATGTGTATTTATGCATATACCTTTGCCATCTCATACAAACCGACACAGATTTCAATTTCAATGAACGATTTAGGATTGGTGATGTATTCTCCCGCGATGGGAGTTGTCCATGGTAATTGGAAAAATCTGATAATAATTTAAATATTCTCACATTAAATTTCGAAAACAAAAGCTTACGCCGCAAAATTGCTGCCGGATATGGCAATGAATTCGCACTTTTATGGAACAAACAAAAATGTTCATTAGTCCACTAACGTAATACTCTACGATTCTGTGGCACGATTTAGATCACCTCAA